TTAAATACATCCAGTCCCTCCAGAAGTTCCCCGACTAGATCCTCCCTGACCCATGGCCTAGGTGCACCTCCCCTGGGGCCTGAGGGGGGGCCTGGTGGGGGGCGCTGATCTGGTCCCTGCTCAGGAAGATGGAGGCAAAGAAGTCATTAAATAGGTTAGCTTTGTCGTCTGGTGTGACTACCAAATTTCCTAGCGTGTCTTGCAGGGGCCCCACATTACCCGGTACCTTCTTTTTGCCCCCTATGTATTTAAAAAAGGACTTCTTGTTGTCCTTGATCCGGGAAGCTAGTCCCAGTTCCATCTCCACCTTGGCCTTCCTGACTGCCCCCCTGCATTCCCAAGCAACTGCAGTATAATCCTCCCTGGTGATGGCCCCTCCCTTCCATTGGGTGTGCACCTCCCTTTTAGCTAGTTTATCATGCTAAGTACCGTATGCATGCTGTTGCTCCATATGGTCACTTTCTATGTACTTCTTAGTATGTGTGGACATCTTGGAAACAATATAGCTATACTGTGTGCCACATCAAACCTTAAGAACAGCACTAGTAAAATAGTGATCAAGCCCTAAAAATAACATTAAGTGTACATTAAATAACTTAAAAATTTACTTCATTTCAAAACACAGTTCTTACTAGTGCTTTAAAAAAAGAGTTCCCAAGGAAACTGCAAATATTCCCAGCCAATTTACAGCTAAAAAGTAAATGCTGGAGTTTATTAAAGCCTTAAAGAGAACACAGATTAGAGACGAAAAGAAATGGGGGTGGAAACCTATAACACTCTTACTTGAAACCACTGATTTGCAAGTTAAAATATATGAGTTGGCAACATGTGGGAATGTCTCACCTACTGTGAGGATTTTTAATCTAGTGTTCTGAAGATTTTAATATTTTAAAATGTACAAACAGTTCTTGAGTGTAATACTATATTTAATTTTAAAATACTAAAAATAAAGAGAGTACATTGATAAGCATCAGAGAGGATGCATTTTCTGTGTTGCAACATATCAATAGTTCTTGGTATTAAAAGCTGATAAAAATAAAAAACACCAACCTAGAGCAGTTGTTCTCAACTGGGGTCTTACAGCAGAGCCCCTTTCAAGGGTGCTGCAGTTCCAACATGATTTCCATTTCCAACCAGGTAAAACTACCCCATGCATCTTCTATGGAGCCCGACAAGAAGGAGCCAAAGGAGCTAAAGCAGATTTATCAGATAGTGCAGGCAGGAATGCCTGCTCCTGCCACAGCCACTTCCCAGTCAGGCTTCATATGCGGTACTTTGTGGTGCTTTCACCTGGCTGCAACAGTAGTGCTAGCACCATGTTTGGGGGTGTCTCGAATCTACAAAGGTTGAGAACCACTGATTTGGAGGCCAAGAAAAGCAGAGTTGTATCTGCCACTAACCAAGAAGTTCTCCTTTTAAAATCAAAAGGAGAAAAGACTGTTGAAAATTCCACAGTATTCTAGAAAGACGCACACATCCTGTTTATTACACAAGTCTTTATAATTCACCAATTAAACACACCAGGATTGGGACCTAGGACCCAAAACTGCCCCCTCTCTGCCCTGAGTGTGGGAGCAGACCCTGAGGATCAGGCCTGACACCACCCCCTTCTGCCAGTGCACACAGGGATTGGTTCCCATGGGCATGGCATTGCCCCCTCTTGCTCTCACATGCAGGGATTGGTTTCCAGGCCTAGCACCACCCAATCCAGCTCAGGGTTCCCTGTGGGTCCAGAAATTTGGCAGTGGGGGAGCAGTACCACCGCTCTCCTGCCATCAAATTTCTGGACCCATAGGGAGCCCCACAGGCCAGATGACAGAAGGCCGCAAGTCGGATGTGGCCAGGAATTCAGCACTGATGCAAAAGAGTTAGTTTTTCATTGCTCTGAAAACAAGAACTTGCATTTAGAGGACTAAATGCAACCAAATTAGGTCCTCAGTAAGCATGTCCACACGAGATGTTAAAAGCACAGTAAACTAATTCTACTGTGCACTAGCACAGCATGAAAAAACTGTGCTGATGTGCATTAGAATCACTTTAAAAGGGTGTGCCAGCATTAATGCACAGTAGCACTGATTATGGCACATTTAATACCTGTGATTACAAGTATTAAACTTAATGTGCCATAATTACAGTACATTAATGAACATGTGGATGCATCCAGTCATTCCTAAAACCATGTTCATGTTATCTACCTATAAGAAGTGTATCCCAGTAATCATGCATGCCAATTTTATATTTTGCATTGCTGTTTTCTTTCACCTACCAGGCAAAATTTGCTAGGCAATGAAAGAAAAATGAAAAATACAAGTTTAAGGAAGAATTATTTACACATGCCATTTGGACAGGCCCTAAAAATCAAGGGCAAGATGTTCAGGCTAACATGGCTAGCTACCTCTCCAATCTTATGGGAAGCTGTTGTGAATATGGGGTAGGCTGCTGTGAGCAATTCAAGTCCATGCTGCTGAGGGGATACACTGTGAGTGCTGGCATTACATAAAATATGACAATTCTAACTTTTCCATTTATAGTTATGCTAGAATGTATGTCACATCCAAATATTTTTACCGGGTAGTTCCCTGACTTCACTTCTGACACACAAACTCCTAAAAAATACAATTGTATTACTAATACAAGCATTAGAAAAGAACATTAAAGTCAAAAGGAGAAAAGATTTTGTAGACAGTGACTAGTCCTCACCAACTCACTTCTGTAGCTGTTAAGTACAATAGAGATCTGAACCAGACCTCACTCTGAAATGGACTGATAACTGCAAGGGAAAGAGAGATACACTTTTGCTTTTTTAAATGTGGTTTTGGTTTGATACTGTTACAGTTCATTTTACTGTTCTCATTTTATAACAATGTTTACATGCTCAGTTTTATGTCTATTTTTCCAAAACAAAACTGTTTTTCTTCCATCTATGGCAGCCAGAAGTTTAGTAGAACTGCCAAAGAACAATTCTTTGTACAAAAAAAATTGTGATGACCAACTGTGGACTATTTAATGTTGAAAAAAGGAATGCTATTCTGCAATGAATATAAATTCCCTCCCATGGATAACAAAGCCATCATGTAACTTGGTAACTCAACATATTTAACAGTTAGCAAACTGGCATTCTAGGCATTGATGCTCAGAGTAAAATTGTGATAAAAATTCTACTTCTTATAAGATTGTGGTAGAAACCATTATTAATAACTGGTTCCCCTCAAGGAATCCAAAGGATGAATGATCATCAGGGATCCTGGTTTTCCATGATAAAAAAATCATAAATTCTCTGATGAAAATCCCAAAATCCATGGTTAAAAATTAAATGACCCCCAGCACTGCTTGTGCCCCTTGCCCCCCACCCACAGC